CCCCCCCCCCTTCAAATCAGAGTCCCCCTCACATCAGCCCCCCTTCACATCAGAATTCCCCTTTCATATCAGGACCCCCCCTTCACATCAGAAGCTCTATTTCACATTAGAGTCCCCCCTCTCATACTGGGAGCCCCCTTTTTTTCATATCAGGAGCCCTCTTCACATCAGAGTCCCCCTTTCAAATTGGGAGCCCCCATTCACATTAAAGTTCCTTTTCAAATCAGGAGCCCCCCATCACATCAGAAACCTCCTTTCCATATCAGGAGCCCTCTTCACATCAGAAGCCCCCTTAACACCAGAGTCCCGCCCTTATATCAGAGTCCCCCCCCCCCCCCTTTTTACATAAGAAGACTCTAATGTGCTCAACCGCACGGCTGCTGGTTTGCGTGTGCCCGGAGAGTGCCGATGTGATTAATTGAGCTGCATCACACTGTTGAGGTTCTTTTTGTTCAAACTTTATTGAAATGTTACAAGTGACGTTTCATCAAGTTCAGTTGGCTCACTTTGTAACGACGTGGTTGTACCACGTCTCATTGCGGTGCACTTAAAGCAATAGCACTGCATGATGTTCTTCTTTTAAGAGCTCACTACCTGAACGCGCTGGTGTGAACTGTGCCCGTCTATGACAAGGCAAAGTGGCTTGTTCTTGGTTCAGGCTGCGCTGGAATAAACGGCCAGCATATGGTGTGAACCGGCCCTTAGACTTTAGGCAGGTTTGACTCTAATTGCCGTTATGTGATTCAGCTCACGTCTTCTACCCGTTACATTTTGTGTGGACTGACCCTTTAAGGATTTTCACTTTTTATCGTAAAAAAAAAAAACCTCATGACATTTTACAGATTCGCTTTTTTCATACCCGATTTTCTTTTTCATTTTTTAATTTTGTTATGCATTTCCCATCTGAAAATCAGAATTCTCACAGGTGCTTTATTTTCTGCCTTTCTCCTAATTATTTTTTGATCGTCTACTTAGATACACTTTTGTTACACTCGACTAAATCACAAAAGTCTGTAAATGAGAAATATATTTTCTTTTGCTGCATCCGACTGCCTACGTAAGCCTTTTATTTAATTCACAATGAATGTAATTAAGGAAAGGATGCAGAGATTTGCATAACCAGCCTTCAGGAACAAATTTAGGTGCGTATGCTCTCATAATTACTTTTTTTTTAAATTAAATTTATGTTTAAGTGAAGGTCAGAATTTGCCAGCGCCATGTAAGTGAATAAAATAGATAATGAGGCCCAATTTAGAGGCGCGGGTTTTAGCACAGCAAGAGTTTTCTGTGGTGCCTGTTTGATCCATTATTTTGTTTTTAGGTATATTTTGCTTGTGGAAGAATGTATGAACTTTAAAGGGAATGTCTAATGATTACATTAGTGGTCAATAGGGAAATGCCCCCTTACGTTGGTGGTCAGTGAGGAAGGGCCCCCTTCTTTGGTGGTGTGTGGCAAAGGGCCCTCCTATGTTGTTGGTCAGTGGCCCCCATTACATGGATTGTCAGTGGAGAAATGCCTCCTTACATAGGTGGTTAGTGGAAAATGGACACCTTACATTGTAAGTCAGTGGGAAAAAGCCCCCTTATGTTATTGGTCAGTAGAGGAGGGTCCCCATATGTGGTTAGTCTGTGCAGAAGGGCCCCCCCTTACATGGATAGTCAATGGAGAAATGGCTCCTTACATTGGTGGTCAGTGGGAAATGGTCCCCTTTTCTCTATGGTCAGTGTAAAGGGGGCCCTTTTACATTGGTCATCAGTGGAGAAGGGTCCGCTTAGATGGGTGGTCCCTGCAGAAGGACCCCCTCTTACATGGAAAGTTAGTGGTAGTGATGGTAAAATGCCTCCTTACATGGGTGGTCAGTGGAAAAGAGACCCCTTACATTGATAGTCAGTAGAGGAGGGTCTCCTTACAAGAGTAGTCAGTGGAGAAGACCCCCCTTTACATGAATAATCAGTGGAGAAATACCTCCTTAAATGGGTGGTCAGTGGAATAGGGCCCCAGTAAATTGTAGGTCAGTGGAAAAGGGAGCCTGTACATTTGTTGTCAGTAGAGGAGGGCCTCCTCACATTGGCGGTCAGTGGAGCAGGGCACCTTTACATTGGTGGTCTGTGGAGCAGGGCACCTTTACATTGGTGGTCAGTGGAGCAGGGCACCTTAACATTGGTGGTCAGTGGAGCAGGGCACCTTAACATTGGTGGTCAGTGGAGCAGGGCACCTTAACATTGGTGGTCAGTGGAGCAGGGCACCTTAACATTGGTGGTCAGTGGAGCAGGGCACCTTTACATTGGTGGTCACAGAAACACTTCACGTTGTATTAATGGTCAGTTAAGTGTCCCCTATTAATGGTTGACAGTATCTCTCGGACTTCAGGTATCCTTTGACCCCTGACTCTGAAGCTGAGAAGTTAGACTCAGAATATGTTTAAAAAAGGGGTGAATAAAAGCAGTAGAGGAGGGCCTCCTCACATTGGCGGTCAGTGGAGCAGGGCACCTTTACATTGGTGGTCAGTGGAGCAGGGCACCTTAACATTGGTGGTCAGTGGAGCAGGGCACCTTAACATTGGTGGTCAGTGGAGCAGGGCACCTTTACATTGGTGGTCACAGAAACACTTCACGTTGTATTAATGGTCAGTTAAGTGTCCCCTATTAATGGTTGACAGTATCTCTCGGACTTCAGGTATCCTTTGACCCCTGACTCTGAAGCTGAGAAGTTAGACTCAGAATATGTTTAAAAAAGGGGTGAATAAAAAAAATCTTTCATAAGTCATTACTAATGCAAAACTGATTATTCAGAATCTTACATAAGCCCAGTCAAAAAACTTCGCACTTTATGCAGCCTTGACTCGGCAGCTCCGGGCCCTCATGGCTATCACCATGGCAACCAAACCAATGAACTATTAAAACAAATGTTTTCTTGAGATTTCAGCACTTATCCTCCACTCAAAAGTCCGTCAGAGACCGAATATTCTGACCTGTTATTCTACTTCTAAAAGTCCTCTAAAACATTTTTGGGCCTTGAACTGATTTATTGAAGACATGGTGATAAGGGTTGTCTCTAAGCAACTTATCTGCTCAAAACTACAATGAAGAACTACAATGAATGAATATGCACTCCCGACTTTGCAGTAGGGCCTCCCTGCACTGCAAGGGTTAAATGCTAGGTGTTCAACAGGGTAGGCAACCTTGGCACTCCAGCTGTGGCGAAACTACAAATCCCACGAAGCATTGCAAGACTGACAGTCACAAGCATGACTCCTAGAGGCAGATGCATGAGGCCACTTGGCAGGAAGGGGTGGCTGTGGAAATGCAAGTAGCAACTTTGTGAAAGTGGCTATTTGCATAAGCGCTTTGGGTGTGCCCCAGAAGGCACCTGAGGGGTGTATCATGAAGAAAAATATGATTATAAGCTGGCTACACTCTTGTGGTTTATCAGCTACAGCGATTTTATGAGTTTATTACAGATTCACTTTTACAAGCCAGAGTGCTGTGACCCATAGAAACTAGGAATGCACCGATACCAGTTTTTCCGTATGGAGTACGAGTACCGATATTTTTTTCACGGTACTCGCCGATACCGAATACCGATACCAGAAGTCCCATTAAACAAGCCAGGCGGTGGGTAATGACTCTCCACCTGGCTTCCTGATTAGCCGGGAAGCCGGGCGGCGTGTAAAGACTCGCCACCTGGCTTCCCGATTAGCAAAGAAGACGTCTCCATGCTTCTTGTCACTAGATGACGAGAAAGCATGGAGCCGGCCTTCTGGCCAATCAGGAAGCCGAGTCATTACACACTGCCGGGCTTCCTGATTGGCCGAGAAGCCGGCTCCATGCTCCCTCGTCACTTGTGATGATGGAGCATGAAGCCGGCTTCCCGGCCAATCAGAAAGCCATGTGCCACGTCATTACACGGCGCCCGGCTTCCTGATTGACCAGCTTCCCAACCAATCAGGAAGCCGAGTCATTACACACTGCCGGGCTTCCTGATTGGCCGAGAAGCCGGCTCCATGCTCCTCGTCACAAGTGACGAGGGAGCATGGCGCTGGCTTCCCAGCCAATCAGGAAGCCGGGCAGCGTGTAATAACTTGCTGCACGGCTTCCTGATATCGGAAGCTGAAGTATCGGGCTAGGCATCAGAGCATTTGGGCAAGTACGAGTACTCGCCCAAATACTCGGCATCGGCACCGATACTAGTATCGGTATTGGTGCATCCCTAAAAGAAACCAATCGGCAACTAACTTTCTGACTGCAGTCAACTAAAGGTAAAATCTCACCGACTGCTATGATTAGTTCACATCATTGGGTTTGCATTGTGATGTTCTTGTACTCCATATCAGTGACCATGTTTGGACATTCCTTCATGCTGGCATCTGTAATATACACTGACTGGCCAAAAAACAACCTGGATTTAGCTAAGCAAATAGGTCAGAGCCTTCCATTGGATTATAGGTCTAGGTTCAGCAATGTTATGCCCCCAAAAATTATCAGTCAGCTGCCGACCTGATCATAATGAATGAGCAGGTTTTTCCATCAATGGATCTTTTCTTCCCTGATGGCACATGATGGGAACATTCCAAGATGACAATGTCAGGATTCATCGGGCTCAGATTGTGAAAGAGTGATTCAGGGGGCATGAGATATCATTGTCACACATGGATTGGCCACCACAGAGTCCAGACCTTAACCCCATTGAGAATCTTTGGGATGTGCTGGAGAAGACTTTACACAGTGGTCTGACTCTCCCATCATCACTACAAGATCTTGGGGAAAAATACATGCAACTCTGGATGGAAATAAATGTTGTGAGATTGAATAAGATTATTATTAAAACTATGCTATGGCGAATGTGTGCCGTAATCAAAGCTAAAGGCGGTCCAATGAAATATTAGAGTGTGACTTTTTTTTGGGCCAGGCAGTGTATATATACTTTATCATTATTTCTAAACTTTTGTTTTATTTTCTCTTGTTCATACATTGTTCAATAATTATTTTTCTTTTTAAAGCACTTCCACACCGGAAACCTGGGCCCAGTACAGCCACGACAACATATACCGCGCAGAAAGAGAGAGAATGACTTCAATCAATCTTCGCTCTCTTATTGACAATATCCTCCAAGACATTTCCGAGGACCTGCGATCTCAGTGCGACAATGTCAACAGCGCCTTTGCCAATCGCTGCGAGGAAGTGGAAGATGCCAAAAGGAAGATGGAGAGTCACTTGAAGAAAGTAAGTCCAGGTTTTATTATAATAAAGAGAAAGTGTGAAACCCACAACAAGGAATTATATCTGGCTCAGTTTTTTTTAAAGTGGATCTTATGGTAACTACGAAAGTCTACAGGAATGATTTCTTAACATGGCACTATATATAGAAACAGTGTCCTCTGTTAAACACGCTTTTATCATGCAAAAGCCATACTTGAGCTCAAGCCCAGTGACTTTGCCTGGGCTGAAATGAATAAAGTGATGGAGTGCTGGGCACCCATATAAAGGATAATTTGCAGGCATCTCTATACAATGCTGAAACCCAGCAGAGGATACTGCAGTAGTGAAGCAAAAGACGGTCAAAAAGTAACAGCATAGCATGTAGACAACGTGTTTTAGTGCCTCACCAGTTCCCCTTTGTCAGGTGTGTCCAACCGGTACCTGAACAAGCTTTCCTACACATGACAATAGATTATCTTTAAAGAAGAACTCCAGGTACATAAAATCAAAGCCCTTGCAGTGGGGCACAGCAGGGGCTACATGCTCATTTTGCCTAGGTTATACTCGCCCGAACCGCGATCCTGGCTCATAGACTGGTCCATTCTGTCTCAATCCCTCTCCACTCCAGTGGTCTAAGGTCCTGTGAGTCATCACGTACTATACATTGTATAGGACGTGAGGACGCCCAAGCATATACAATCGTTGTAGCAGAGGAGGGGAGAGGCCAAAGGACCTGGTCTAGTAGCCAGCCGGGATCATAGTTCATGTGGGTATATCTCTGTTATTTTGGCTCCCTAGGCAAATTGAGCACTTAACCCTGTCAGTACAGGGGTATCCCCACTGCCAGGGTTAAGATTTTATTTTCCCAGAGACCGTTTTTAATCATTTTATCCTGGTCCAGTGTGCTATATAGTCCACCACTGCAAACCCTGATAAAGGGAGACTGGTAAACCCGCACTGCAAGGCTTAAATGCTCATTTTGTCTAGGGAGCTCAAATAAAGCAGATATACTCACCTGATCCTTGGACTCGAGAGGTCACACTCCACTTCAGCTGTGGAATGTCCCTTGACGTCCTCATGTCTATGGACCTGCATTAGACTTGATGACTTCAGCCCATGCCTAGGAAAGAAGAGGCTGTGGGGACCGGTCTAGCAGCCCAGGAGGACCAAGTGAATAATACAGCTTGATTTGCGCCCCCTAGACAAAATAAGCACTTAACCCTTGCAGTGCGGGGGTAGTTTTTTTAAGTTACCGGAGTTCTTCTGTAAGTCTCTATCTGGATCGTAGCTACCTTACTGCATCAACTCATATCCAAAATATAAACTGTGGTGGACTGTCCCTTTAAATGTATATCCACAGGCAAAGGCAAGCTCAGGAATGATCTTACAGACAGGACGGTTTTTAATTAACACCATCGTTTCACAGTTTAAAGGAAACCTAGTCTAGAATTAATAGGTCTGTCACAAGCTTCTGATAAACCGCTGATTGCCTCACTTCACCATCTCTTCCTCAACATCTATATAAACATTATTCACCAGAGGAATCAATACCGAATGTAAAGTAAGCATGAAGATTAAGTAAGTATCCAGGCAGCAAATAACCAGAGGGACCCATATTGTCTGTATAGTCTAAATTGTTCCACAGAGGATGGACTCAGATAAATGGCTCTTGGTATGGATTTCTACAAAACATCGCTATTTAACAGATAATGTTCATGCTATTGAACCTCCCTTCTATTTGTGCAAACAACGCACACCCGGCTGCTATAATGAATCACTTTTCAATATAAACCTGATATATGTGAAACATAAAATAATAACTATGTGGCATTCGTACTTCCAATAAACAATCATGTAGTTAATACCCCCATATGTCTCAAATGATAGCATTTTAAAGAAGAACTCGCCGGCATTTACAAAATGAATCCTTGCAGGGTTGTGACCCTTCTACACAATCCAAAACTACGAGATACTGTTACTGTCCCAAGTGATACTTCATGAACACTCTCATGCTGTGACACAGAGGATGGACTCAGATAAGTGGCTCTTGCTATGGATTTTTACAAAACTGTTTAACCATCACTATTTAACAGATAATATTCACACTATTGAACCTCCCTTCTATTTGTGCAAACAACGCACACCCAGCTGCTATAATGAATCGCTTTTTAATATAAACCTGATATGTGCGAAACATAAAATAATAACTATGTAGCACTCGTGTTCCCAATAAACAATCATGTAGTTAACTTAACACCCCCTTATATCTCAAATGATACCATTTGAAAGAAGAACTCCAGCCATGTACAAAATGAACCCTTGCAGAGTTTTAACCATTGTACACAATCCAAAACTACGAGATACTGTTACTGTTACCAAGTAGGGATGCTCCGATACCAAGTACCGTACTCGGTACAAGAACAAGTACAGATACTTTTCGAGCGCCTAGACTAGACAAAAATTAAAAAGTTAGGAGGCAGCTGTCATATGTAAGGAGCACACGGAGCTCCTTTGATTTGTACATCTATGTTTTAATGTATGATTTTGTTTTTATAAATATAAATAAAGGGATGCACCAATACCATTTTTCTAAGTACAAGTACCGATACTTGCCCAAGTACCCACAGATACAAGTACTGATACATTTTTGTTTTTTGTCATGTGACAGTTTTTCTAAAACAATACAGACTAATGATTTCAGGACAGTGGTGGAGCGCCAGAGCCCGGTCCCAGCTACAACCACTGCAACCCTGGTAGTTCTCGTGAAAATGCCAAGTATCTGCACTGGTACCTGAACTGGTATCCGTACATCCCTAGTCCTAAGTGATACTTCATGAATACTTTCATGCTGTGACACAGAGGATGGACTCAGATAAGTGGCTCTTGCTATGGATTTTTACAAAACTGTTTAACCATCACTATTTAACAGATAATATTCACACTATTGAACCTCCCTTCTATTTGTGCAAACAACGCACACCCAGCTGCTATAATGAATCACTTTTCAATATAAACCTGATATATGCGAAACATAAAATAATAACTATGTAGCACTCGTACTCCCATCAAACAATCATGTAGTTAATACCCCCTTATATCTAAAATTATACAATTTTAAAGAACTCCAGCCATGTACAAAATGAACCCCTGCCGGGTTGTGACCCTTCTACACAATCTACGAGATACCGTTAAGGTGCCCATACACCTTACGATTATCGGACGAAAATTTTCGTCCAATGATCGAACTGTCGTACGATTTTCGTACGACGGCCCCACCTTCCCCCGATTATCGCAAGGTCCAATTAGCGGTAGTTAAAAAAAACACCTGGACGACTTGCGGTAATTGACCGCAATTGTTTTCGTTTGCACATGCGCAGTGTTAATCGTACGACTTTTGACGGACGGAAACGCCACCAACCATGCGAACATCGTACGATCAACCAAAGTTTTCAAACATGCTTGACCGTCAAAAGTCGTACGATTGTACAGTACTATCGGTCGGGCACTCTATTCACACATTACGATTGTCGTACGAAAAGTCGATCGCATACGATTGTCGTACGATAATCGTAAGGTGTATGGGCACCTTTACTGTCCCAAGTGATTCATGAACACTCTCATGCTGTGACACATTCACTCTGTCTGTACTGTGTATCCCCTGTGGGTAGCAACAGCAGTATGTTCATTAGTGGAATGTATCCGAAGAGACAACATTGATCATACGGTTTCATTTTTGTATGGCTCTCTAGCTATTATTAGCACAATTAATTTAGTCCTATATATTCTTTGACCCTTCTGCCCTGGTGTTAATTCTCATGCCAGTTTCCATAACAACCTTCCTGGGTGCCAGTTCCTTGTCACATCATTAGAAAAGCGACTTGGAATGCTATCGGTCCCACTTGTTGTCTGAGCTGCAGTGATGTGATTCTTGCCGGGAAGACACTTGTCTGTTAGTTAGACCTTGTAGCATCCTATTAAGGGACACATTGGCGAAGCTCTAAAAAATTAAATGATGCATGTGCCCTTTTTCTGTAACATTTATCAACGGGCATGAACAGTCTACAGGACGAATTTTAAAGTGTTCAGCAAGCAAAAGGTTGGCCTCTGATTTAAAGTGAACCCATAATTTGCCCATTTGTTCTAAAGCAACAGGTTCAGTTTAATGCTCCACGAAAGGAAGCCTTGTGTAAACGTGCAAGTCACTCTAGTTAAAGGTTACTCAGGGATGAGGAACTTCTTCAAACCCTATGTGATAGTGCTGGACCAATCACCAAGCACCGTGCCAATATAAGAATGGGAGTGATTCATATGCTTCCCCATACCTGGGCATTTTCTTTAATCCCAGCAGCCCAAATTCACCTTATTATGAATTACTATATACATTAAAAAGCCATATAACACGTGTACCTTGATAAATGATTAGGACCATGTTTGAATTCTGTCTGCGCTCCCATTGTCCAGCAGTGAGCATTGGAAACTGTCAGCCATTTATCAGTGGAACCAGGCAGCTCATGGTGTTCCTCAGTATCCCCTCCACTTGTTATATCTATGTATTTGACAGCATCAGGTCACAGGTGAAGTGTGTTCATGCATATTCCTGGTCAGGCTTTGCAATCATGTAGACATAGATCACATGGGGGTGCTGAGTGACACCATAGGTTGCATGGTGTTGCCAGTAAATGGCCAGCGGTTTCTGATGCTGATTGCTGGACAACCAGAGCCCAAAGATAATTCAGACACGGTGCTGTGCATTTATTAACGTATATATATATATATATGTTATATGGTTGTTTAATGTTCAAAGAGGAATTGTAGTGTGAACTTACACTTTGAAGTGAACCTGTTGCTTTAGCTTCATAGGAAAAGCCCAGGCTTTCTTTATAGTTAGCTAAACTCCAACTGGACATGAAGGTTTTGCATTTTATCTCTATTAGAGGACGGTTGATTGGCTCTAATCTTGCCATTCATAGTGTGCATCTAGCTGCCCTGCTATCCAAATCCCTCAACCTCTGAATGATCCTGTATCTAAATCTACAAAAAATACAACCCAGTGTTCCTTGGTTGTTCCAGCTTCCTCCTATTCTGGGCCCACTGCAGCATCTCCCACACACGCTGAAGTGAACATTGATGACTAGGTTATTCAGCAAAACAGGTCACTGGTTGGTTTTGCTTGTTGCATTGAGTTTAATGGCCAGCTGCACTGACAGGTGTTTTTTTAATACTTTACTGAGCACCAGTTGGTTCAATTACCTCCAGTATCTGATATCACTTGGAGACTGTAGTAGTGCAATTACTTTTAGACCAGACCAGATTGTTTCCGGACTCAAAATGCCTCCTAATGTATCCCTATGCTTTTTCTGGCCTCTGTTCACACCAGCGCAGTCCGTTCCAGACCAGACCAGAAAAATACTGCTTGTCCTATCTGGTCTGTAATGCACTGGAACGCATAGAAACACATAAAAATGCATACAAATGCACCGGAACACACGTAAAAACCCATTGTAAGCCTAAAGAAAAAGAAAAAAGCTATTGGAACGCTGCAAAATCGCAGTAAAACCGCGGCAAAACACAGTGCACTGCGTTTCAGATCTGGTCCAGAAAATGGTGCAAACCTTCCCTCAGGCTCCATTCACACCTGAGCAGCTCTCCACGCGTTCAGCTGTACAGATATGCGCGGAACCACTCTAAACAGAGAATGCAATGCACTTTAATGTGCATCGTGCAGACCATAGCGGGGATCGTGCGGTACGAAACTGCGCTGCCCCCCGAAATAGTACAAGCGTGATAATCCGGCAGATTCCGCACGTTCACGATAATTAAAAGGCGCAAACGAGCAATATCCGTGCGGTTTTAAAAATATTAGCGTTTTCGTCCCGCGTATGTGAATGGAGCCTTAATGCTTAGAGCAAAAAGTACAATAATAAAAATACAAAGCACATTCTGGTGTGGATGAGTGTAGTTATATTGATGATGACATCTAGGGTGAAGTAGATAAGACAGCAGTTTATACCTGCAAGTTTCTTTAATTACGTGTAGCGCGTTCTTAACATGTTATTATGATTATACACAAATTAAATGTATTTCTCTTATTTGCTTGTACACATGATTCATGTATATATTGTAAGTCTACTGTATGTATAACCCTAGTTCACACACTATTGGATTGCTACGGAAGAGGAAGAGGGAGCAATGTTTGCTTCGAAGTGCGTTGGCTTTATTAAAGGTTTTATATCCGATTTGGAGCTTTTTCATTTAACTCTCTTTATGGGATTGAGTTGTATGATTCATCTAGTCCTGTAGATACCAAACTTGCAGAGTGTTAATGCCATTAAAGTGACATTAAAGTCAAAAAAAATTTCCCCCTTCCCAATCCTGCTGTAGGGACTTACCTTAAATTATGTCTCTTAATCCGATCTTCTTCTTCTTCTTTACTGTCCTTTTCAGCTGTCCCTACATGCCTGGTCCGGGTCTCCGATCCAGCGATGACTCCTCTGTCCTCCTCTTCTCTGATGTCCCACGGAGTCTGTGCAGGTGCACGCTGCTACATAGACTTACCTTGTGTCTCTCCTCGTCTCCCAGCTGAACATCTGAAGTGCGCATGCGCCTGCCCCAAGATGCTTTGCGGCCTGCCCGAGACTTCAGATGTTCAGACGAGAGCGCGCAAAGAAGACACAGGTAAGTATTAACCGCTTTTAAAAGGTTTAAAAAAAATGTTTTTGTATATATCTACTGTTTGCTTGCTAGCAGTAGATATATGCAAAAACACGCAAGGGTTTAAAGGAGAACTATGAGGTGAGTGCTTTTCACTCACCTCATAGTTCTAGCCGACCTGTGACAATGAGACTGTCACAGGTCGGCTCAGTAGATCGGGAGGTGAGCGAACATATACAGGCGTTCGCTCACCTCTCGATCCTATCACGGCTCTCTGCCGTGACAGGGGAGGGCCTGGATTCCCCCTCCCCGCTCCAATCCGCCAGCGATGGCTGGCGGAACGGACGGGGGAGGGGGCGGGTACAGCTGGCTCTGCCTCTAGATAGGCAGAGCCAGCTGTCACTCACGCAGCTGGGCGGTTCTTGACATCAATGTCGGGATCCGCTCCGGCTGCGCCGTCTCAGTATACCGCGAGCTGTAGCTCGCGGTATACTGAGCTAAGGATAACGGGAGGACGCTAGTTTGTGTCCCTAAGGAGAACTATGGGGAAAAGCCCTGACCCCATAGTTCTCCTTTAATAACCCTTTAAGTGTTAACTACTTCAGGTGAGCCTCTTAATGTTGGTATTTCATCTTCATTACAGTTTACATGCTTAAAAAGATTATTACCTCAGCTAACTTGTGTTAATTGATTCATTGCTGATCCTCTTCTTATCCGAGGTGTTGATATTACAGCTTGGTAGCTTAGCTCCATAGTTGTGTGTGATCCCGGCCATACACCAAGGTGGGCAGTATACCTTTATTCAAACTTACCATTTAATCTACTGGTACTCCTAAAGGCACCCCTGGTTCTCGTATGTTTTTAGCATTGCTTGTTCCCATTTGGAGGGATCGATGTGGTGGCAGCAAAGGAATACAACCCTACCGTTGAACTATTCTGTTCCTTTCAGTGTTGCGGATATTTGTTTACAATCCCCCAGTGAGAACTCCCAGTTGATTACATTAAGATCACTAGTTTTTTTTTAACTTTGTCTTGCCTGTGAAGGTTGCGGAAAAATGTAATTTCAGATCGAGATTTCTGGTAGTTGGTGTCCAGCACCCATGCAAAACGAAACTCTGGATGAAGCTGTCCTTTATGATGGAACTCCAGCCACAAGGCACATTTTTTTCTTTTAGTCTTTGGACAAAGTGGGGCAGAGTTAGAACCTGTCCATACGCCTATGTGTGATTTATCTCAATTTTTCTCCAGTGACAGCTGTCACCAGGACAGAACATGAGATAATATCTAACATTATACAGTTGTCACCAGAACAGGACAAGTGCATGGATGTGCAGGCACACTCCATGGAACTATAGAGGCTAAGAGTTGGGTGCTGTAAGGACTGAACAATGAATAGCGCCTTTGTACTGTAATCCAATTTAAGAAGGTGCCACCAGCTCAACAACTTGCTCAACACAAGGTTTTGTTTTTCACATATGGGATAGCAACATCTTGGAGCCACCAAATGACTCCTTCCTCAGGCAGTAATGGCTGCTGCCTAAAGTAGGAGTTCTTTGAAGGTCCTGAAATGTTGCTGTGATCCAATAGGGACACCTGTTTCAGTGTCTAACGAAGGAGTCTTTTGATTGCTCCTAAATGTTGCTATCATCCAATCAGCCCACCTTTTTTAGTGACTACACCTAAAGAAGGAGTGCTTTGATGGCTCCAAAGTGTTGCTGTCATCCAACCAGGACAATTGTTCCAGTGACTACCACCTAAGAGGGGATTTCACCTTATTTGGACCTTCAGGACAAGAAGTGAGAGTAAATCTCCACAGTGGGTACCTGACAGAGGTTCTAATCCCTTCCCTACTCCATCCACAACTAGAAACAAAGCTTTGTTTGGAGTTCCAGTTTAGTCCAACCTAACTCGTATTTCAGGTTTAGATAAATGTCCTCTCTAGTTGATTTAATAAAGTTGATTTAAGGAGTTGCAGAGGAGCAGTGTATGGCCTTACAAGTTTGTGTCAATTGCATTTGTGGGAGGAGGTAAGGCCCAGAAAAGAATTCAAGCTTGCATCTGGAGTTGCATGGGTAGACATTGGGACGATGTAGCAATACCATGGGACAACATTGTATACATGTGCTGTTGGGCCAGATACCCATTTATTCATTCATTATATCCATTGCTGTGTTTATTTTCCAATATCAAACTTTTAACTCTTCTCGAAATGAATAGTACGCAGTCCAAACAGGGTCACTTATTTAAATACCACGCATGTATCACTGACATTTCTTCCTCTGCCGGCTGACATGTTCCAGTGTATATAGGCCTTGATTTCTGTTGCATGGCTTTGCAGCTATACATATTAATATCCTTGCAAATATTTGAGCACCTACAAGAGCCACATAACACGGTTATTGCTTAGATAAAATAGGATAAGCTTCCCAGAAAAGAAATGCTGAGGTTTGTTTTTACTAAGCCATTTTTATTTTCTCTGTCTTTACACAGACCCTGGAGGAGATCGGAGATCAAGAGAATAATATAGCAGCCCTCAAACAAGCTATTACGGATAAAGAGGCACCAATAAAAGTGGCTCAGACGCGTCTATATCAGCGCTCCTACAGGCCCAATGTGGAGTTGTGCCGGGACCCTGCGCAGTTCTGGTGAGTGGATTATTCAGCAGCTTTATTACAGGGGAAGCTGGCCGTAAACTCGAGGCCTGCTGGGACTCCCCGTCCCCAGCAGGCCCCGTGAGGAAGTTATAAATGAAGAGGTGGGGTGAGATGTCTCAAAAAAGGCAGTGAGAAGCAAAGTTAATTTATTTATTGTGTTCTTTGTGTAACACGGACATGCCGTGCAGGGTTTTTTGCCGTCTACTTCTGCCAGCTTACAACCCCCTACATATCATAGACACCACTGGAAGCCAATTAACACAACTGTTAACACAACTGTATATTTCTGGGTTGTGGGTGGAAGCAGGAGCCCCATAGTGGAAATCCAGATAAACCCAGGGGGAGAGTCTCCATGCAGGTGGGGTACATGATGGGAATTAAAGCCAGGACACCGATGAGTGAGGCAAGAAGGTTAACAATGAAATCACAAGGTTGCAAATGTTTATTGGTCTCTGTAGGCTTCTTTTGCTTTGTATCCTCTCTCTCTGCTTCTCTTCATTTCTTCTACTTGTGTGCCTCTTTCTCTCTCTCTGTCCCTACTTTTTATCCCTCACTCTTTGTTGTTCCTATTAATCCTGATTTTCCTCTCCTCCCCATCTCCATTAACAACAACAAGGCTATCTGTCAATCACTCCCTTCACCCTTTATTGCCTCTACTCATCCGTCTGAATCAATCTCTCTTTCTCTTTCTGTCAGCACCCCAGTCTGAAATGTCATAGATTTTAAGGGGGACAGGAGGCACACCTACAGTGCCACGACACCCTGGTTGAGAAAGGCCGCCCTAGATCCATTTGTCCATGTCGATTTTCCTCTCTATCTCTCTTATTCATATTACTCCTCTCTCTCTCTCTCTCCTCTCCCCTATGTGTAGATTGTAATTATGTAGATTGGACACGTGGGGGCTTTCACTCTCTCTCCCTCCACATCTATCTCTCTCTCTCTCTCTCTATCCAGCCCTTCCTCTTCTATCTCCTTTCCCTCTTTTTTTTATAATTCCAATTCCCCTCTCTTACCTCTTTATCATTGATATCTTCCTCCTGTTCTGTCTTTCCGCCCCTCATTCATCTCTGTTCTTTCTTTCCGCCCCTCATTAATCTCTGTTCTTTCTTTCCCTTCTTTATCTTTCTACATCCTACCCCTGGTTTCTCCTTCTTTCCTTCTTATTTTGTTTGTTGCCCTCCCACAATCTCTTTCTCATCCATTCCTTTCTCTTCCTAACATGCATTCAGATGCAAAACACATCAAAATGCTGCGTTTGGCCTGCCTTGCACGCAATAATTAATCACATCTTGTTAGAACCTGCTCCTTCCAAAAAAACAAGGGAAAAGCAGGGAGATGGCGGTCTCTGAACTGTTGTCTATACTATATAATAGAAGGGATCTCCTGACCTGCGTTTGACGTGCCCACATCAAATAGAGGAAAATAATATCCAACTACACACGCCCGTACTTTGCAGGTTCTCGCTCTCTCTGCCTCCCAGGAGAGGGAGGCAGAGAGAGCGAGGGGAGGCAGCCAGGAGAGAGAGCGGGGGAAGGCAGCCAGGAGAGAGAGCGGGGGAAGGCAGCCAGGAGAGAGAGCGGGGGGAGGCAGCCAGGAGAGAGAGCGGGGGGAGGCAGCCAGGAGAGAAACTGGACTCTGCTCGTAGCAACGCTCTGGACATAGCAAAGCTCTGGACTCTGCACATAGCAACACTCTGGACTCTGCACATAGCAACACTCTGGACATAGCAACCCACAGCACTCTGCACATAGCAATGCACTGGACATAGCAACCCACTGGACATAGCATCGCTCTGGACTCTGCATGTAGCAACGCTCTTCATAAAGCAACCCACTGGAATATGCACCTAGCAACCCACAGGACTCTGCACATAGCAATGCACTGGACGCACAGGACTCTGGACATAGCAACCCTCTGGACATAGCAACCCTCTGGACATAGCAACCCTCTGGACTCTGCATGTAGCAACACACTTCATATAGCAC